CCAACTCATAGCATCCCTCCTTGGGTGTGTGAGGCAGTATCACTACAGAAGTAGTTTGCTCAACCTTCCTACTAAGGAGTGGCTGGTGGGTTTGAACTGCCAGCCTTCTGGTTAGCAGTCAAATGCTGTAGGCACTATGCCACCAGAGCTCCTTTTATAATATAACTGATATAATATAACATAACATAATATAACATGATATAATATATAAACATATAAGCCAAAAACCAAACCCCCTGCCATAAAGTAGATTTGATTCTGACTCATAGTGACCTTTTAGGACAGAGTAGAACTGTCCCATAGTAAATCTTTACTGAAGCAGACTGTCTCATCTCTCTCCCAAGGAGCAGCTGTTGGGTTCAAACCACCAACTTTTTTGTTAGCAGCTGAAAGCTTTAACTACTATGCCACCAGATCTCCTTACATAGTCATATATGTATTGCATACATAATGATAACATAATACAGAATAAAATGTTAACATCTCATAAATCTAGGAATGCAGAACATTGCAATATTGTGAAAATTTTTTTCTATAAGTTTGAAATTATGCCAAAAAGTATGTATCTGATTTACAAAACTCTAGTGGCATACTGCCTAAGGCATTTGATTGCTAACCAGAAAGCTGCCAGTTCAAACCCACCAGCCACTCCTCAGAAGGAAGACTGGGCAATCTACTTCCATAGAGATACTGCTTCAGGAACCCAAGGAGGGGTCACTATGAGTCGAATTGTCTCCAGGGCAGTGAGTTTGGTTTTTGGTTTGGAATTTACAAAACACTGAAGACTTTATTATTTTAAAAGACAGAAACTACATTATTGGACTTGGTAGAGATCCTAAATTACTCACTTGACCACCTCTTGAATCTCCCCACTGACAAATCATACTATCTATATGTGTGAGCTTTATCAGTGACAGCCCATTTGATTTTCAAATAGTTTTATTCTTTTTCCCTATTGCGTAGCCATATCTGTCTTCTTACTCACTGTCTCTTATGGTTATGTTTATTTACTCAAACTCCCCTTCTATGCAAGCCTAGGACAGGCTTAACTTGTAAGAGTAAACAAGCTTACACTGTTTATACACTATACTATGTATAGATTAAGAACTTTGAGTCCTTGGAAGGAACAAAGCAAGAAATATCTTCTTTGGATAGTCATATATGTCACATTAATTAGCTCAAAATATCGTTAGGTGCCGTCGAGTCAGCTCCAAGTCATAGCCACCCCATGTACAACAGAACAAAACACTTCCTGGCCCTGTGCCAGCCTCATGATCCCTGCTGTACCTAAGCCTACCATTGGAGCCACTGTGTCAATCCATCTTGTTGAAGGCCTTCCCTTTTATCATTGACCCTCCTCCACTTTACCAAGCATGATATCTTTCTCCAGGGAATGGTTCCTTCTGACAACATGGTCAAATTTGATGAGACAAAGTTTGGCAATTTTCACTTCCAAGGAGCATTCCAGCTGCAATTCTTCAAGGACAAGATTTGTTAGTTCTTTTAGCAGTCCATAGTGTTCTCAGTATTCTTCGCCAACACCACAACTCAAAAGCATCAACTCTTTGTTGGTCTTTCTTATTCATTATCCAACTCTCACATGCGTAAGAGGTGATTGAAAATACCACGGCTTGGGTGAGGCCCACATTAGTGTTCAAGGAGACATCTTTGCTCTTCATCACTTGAAAGAGGTCTTTGGCAGCAGATTTGCCCAATGCAATATGCCATCTGACGTCTTGATTGATTTTTCTATTGGTGTTGATTGTAAAACCAAGTAATATTAAGTCTTTGACAACCTCGAAATAGGGGTTTATTAAATCCCCTTTATTTATTTATTTATTTATTCGGTAGAATAAGTAACTCTTGAGGACAAGGATTTTATTTTATTTATCTCTGTGTTTGGGAGCTGTGGTGGTGTAATGCCTAAGGCATTTGATTGCTAACCAGAAGTCTGGTGGTTCAAACCCATAAGCCACTCCTCAGAAGGAAAACTGAGCCATCTACTTCCATAGGGATACCACCTTGGGAACCCAAGGAGGAGTTGCTATGAGTGGGAATTGACTAGACTGCAGTGAGTTTGGTTTTGCTTTGTGTCCTCAATTCTTTAGGCAATGCTTGGTATTAAAGCTATTTGATTATAATATGTTGAATGAATGAATCCTCTATTGAAAATAGTCTGCTTCTCAGGCCAGAGTCTCTGACTTATATGTGTATACGGCCCCAAAATCCCTAACACAGCAGCTGGAGCAGAAGAATAGTTGATGCACATAAGAATGAACATTCTATTAGATAGTACAACATTTTGTACCCATAAAACAGAAATTTAACAAGTCAAGTCAGTGAACAATATGAGCCTGCTCCACAAGAGAATGTTGTGACAGTCTGCTCTATAAAGATTCACAACCTTGGAAACCCAATGGAACTGTTCTATTCTGTACTAGAGGGTCACTATGACTCATAATTGACTCAACATCCATGGGTTGGTTTGATTTTTCTACGAAGCAGGAGCATAATAAATACTGGATATATAAATGTATGAATTTTAATTTAACCATAAAGTGTTTTGTCTACAAAGCAGACATATCTCAGCAAACAAGACAAAGAGAATTTTCTAAGTGTAGATCACATATCATTTCAAGTGCTTTGCTGGCAACTATCATTCCAAAGAATAAATGTTTCATTTTTAATATGTATAATCAGAGGTGAAGAAGATAGGAAAATAAAACCCATCCATCAAAAAGAGAAAAAAATAGTATGTGATTTAAGCAACTCTTTTCCTTTTATTGACAAAACCTTTGGAATTCCTAACGACAGTTTCACAGCTAAATCCATTTAGTTGCAATTCCTCCAACAGTTAGTGGGTTCCAAACCCCACTATAGCTGAGTTATACAAACAGTAGCAAAATAAAAGTGAACCAAAATTGAATTAAATTTCATCAATCAAAATAAGAAGGACCACTGCTGGTGAAGGGGTTAAGCATTTGGCTGCTAACCAGAAAGTTGGCGATTTGAACCCACCAGCCATATCTGTCTCCTTGGGAGAAAGATGCAACAGTCTACTTGGAAACCCTATGGTGCAGTTCTCTTCTGTCCTACTGGGTCACTATGAGTCAGAATCAATTCAACAACTATAGGTTCGGTGTTTGGTTTAAAATGAAAGGAGGAAATAAATGTTTTCAGCATTTCAGCAGCTAAGAAGTATTCCTGTTTATAATCAACAGAGAGAAAGAGCAATGGCAATATAGTGTGATACTCTATCCTGGCTGTGTAATCTGAGATTCAAAAATAAATAAATAAATAAATTGGTTAAAGTAAACCATTACAGTTGAAACTAGTTGATGAATTCAAGAGCATAAGAACACAGTAAAATAAATAACCAGAACAAAAATGTTGTTTATGCTGAATGAAGTAAGTTTATTAAGAAATTAACAGCAGTCCCCTTTTTACCCACACCCAATTTGTCATATAGCAACGCAGAAGTTAACAGTACATGAGCAGAGCAACGTTGAGAAGCAAAGTACTTGTTTCATTGCTAGAATTCAGTATATCAGAGAAATATGTCTTGCTTTCCATGTCTGTTGATAAGTATCTCTTCAATATTTGAGGCCTGGAAGATTTGTATCTTGGTATCATCAAATGCCAGGATCATAGGAAAAAGTCAGCAAGAAGATGAAAGATGTACTCCTTAGCACACCTAGAGGTAGGAATGCAGTCATAGCTCTTCAGGTTCTTTTGTGTACTAGCAATTGATCAAGAGTTGTGTAGTCACCAGAAGCCATTGGTTCATTAGTAGGTACTATAGCCAAAGCCAGAGCCAGAGCCCCATGGCCTGTAGAAACTGCCACCATAGCAACAGCCTAGGTTGCTGATGTTGTTACCACCAAAGCTGTAGCCTAGGGAGCCATAGCCATTTCATCCATAACCATAGTTCAAGGGAGAGCCCAAAGGCACAACACAGTTCAAGGGGGTGGCTCTGAAGGTCCTATGGAAGTTGGTTCCATAACAAGGATAGCCTGGGAAGTAGTTTCCACAGCAGAAGAAACGAGTCATGTTGGCAAGAGTTGAAAAGGATTTGGATAGATGACAAGGAGCAAGTTACCCGTCTGAATGAAGGTCTCTTTCTGCATGGGGCTTTTTATACCTCAAGATGGTGGGCATGACATGCATGTCTGGACAGCTTCCTACTAATTTGCATAAGTATCCCCATTATTTTTCTAATAAAATGCATATAAAAGAACCCAGCAACTCATTGTCTATGTTTTTGTTGGCTTTGCCTTTTGCAGAGGAATGTGTCCTATCTTAAAAACCAGTGGCCACCCTTGACGCACGTTTGAATTCTTTCATCAGTGTCCCATGACTTAACTACAGTTGATTGCATCATATGAGATTTTTTAAGTCTTCTGAATATAAACTCCTTCCCACTGGCATAACTAGACTAAAAATACTTCAGCAAAAAAAAAAAAAAAAAAGGAAACACTTAAAGATCACTCCATAAATTGAGATCACTTGACCCTTAAGAACATCATGATAAAACACTAAATTGAAATTCTGAAGCCTCTTAAAATTCACTCTGTGTGTCATTCAATAACATTGCTACATAGATTCATCAGAAAACGTCTTTAACAGAAACTACAAAAGCTCCAAATTATAAGATGGCTACAGGCAACATACTAGTAATTTTCACATATTTTATGAGCATCCTCCTTGTTAACATATATTTTTAGTGAAGAACATGCCACCTTACTTGTAAATCTTCTTGGAGATTCTCAGGATGTCTTGTTGAGGAGTTATCACATGGGTACTGAGTGGAATGATAACCAATTTCAAAGTTATGTTAGACCATGCTTGGTTCTTATTGACTCCTTGTAAAACAAGCCCAAATATAATAGTTCATTATGAAATACCAGTTATACTTTAGAACACAGCACTTACTAATGCTCCCATTTTTCTGTTTGGCTAGTTCTCATGATGAAAGTAAACCAAAAGGAATTTGAGCTCAGTAAAACTAAGTCTATTCTCTTTCAAATTATTGGGAGATAAATAAGTTTTTTTATAGGTGAAGAAGAGGCCTGAGGGACTCTGGTGGTGCAGTGGTTAAGCACTTGTCTGCTAACTGAAAGGTCAGTGGTTCAAACCCACCAGCCATTCTGCAGGACAAAGTTGTGACAATCTTCTTCTAGAAAGATTTACAGCCCTGGGAGTCCTATGAGGCAATTCTACTCTGTCCTATGGGGTTGCTATGAGACAGAATTGACTTGATAGGAATAGGTTTGGTTTTTGGTCTAAGAGGCTGGGTTCTCTGAAAGCAGAGGAGAAATACTTCATAGATACAAACTCCTTTTGTTTATTTCTCTTAGTGACACTGGAAAAACCAATTGTTCTAGTCAGCTATCTCTAATAAAGAGACAATAACAATAAAGAGATTCTTTCTCTTTTCAGGTTCTCTGTAAAGAGATTCACTTTTAAGTTTCTCTGAAAAAACAATGGCTTACATGGTCATCTTCCAACTAGACAATTTCTTCTGTCCTACAAATTAATTAAATATTATGACAGTTTGTAGTTGATGTATATCAAAAGTTAAGGTGCATTTTCAAATTAACTTTTTTTTAAAAAAAAAAAAAAAGAGGCTGTTTCCTCAAGGGCGCAAATTATGTAAACCCTATATCAGAAAGCTAAGTTGTTATCCATTAAAGCACATTTGAAGAAAAAAATTCAAGCCTCAGTTTGCAATATTAAAGTACTCTATGGGCAAAATATTGAATGATGCACGAAGCATCAAAAGAAGATGGACGGTATAGAGTCACTGTTATAAAAAGAATTGGTGGACTACAAACCATTTCAGAAGGTAGCATATGATCCAAAACAAATGGTATTGATGGAAGAAGTCCTAGCTGCACTGAAGGAATTGCCAAAAATAAGGGTCCAGGAATTAACAAAACACTCATCGAGATGTTTCAACAAATGGAGCCAGTGCAGAAAGTACTCACTCAATTATGCCAAGAGAGTTGGAAGACAGCTACCTGGCCAACCAACACAAAGAAATCCATATTTGTGCCCATTGCAAAGAAGGTGATACAACAAACAGTTGAAATTACTGAATAATAGCATTACCATCACATGCAACTAAAATTTTGCTGAAGATAATTCAAAAATGGTTGCAGAAGTATATTGACATAGAACCATGGAAATTCAAGCCAGATTCAGAAGAGGGTGTGGAACAAGGGATATCATTGATAGTGTCAGATGGATCTTGGCTTAAAGCATAGAATACAAGAAAGCTGTTTGCCTGTGTTTTATTGATTATCCCAAGGCATTCAACTGTTTGGATCATAACAATTATGGATAACACTGAGAAGAATGGTAATTCTGGAGGAGCTATTTGTGCTCAGATGGAACCTGTTCGTAGACCAAGAGGCAGTCATTCAAATAGAACAAGGGAATACTGCATAGTTTAAATCAGGAAAGGTATGCATTAGGGTTATATCCTTTCACCATACTTATTCAATCTGTATGATAAGAAAATAATCCAAAAAGCTAGACTATTTGAAAAAGAATGTAGCATCAGGAATTGAGGAAGACTTATTAAAAATCTGTGTTATGCAGATGACACAACCTTGCTTGTTGAAAGTAAAGATATCTTGAAGCACTTACTGATGAAGATCAAGGACTATACCCTTAAGTATGGATTAGAAAGTTAATATCTTCACATCTATATCAAGAAGCAACATCAAGATAAATGGAGAAAAGATCGTATCTGTTAAGGATTTCATTTTACTTGGATTTCATTTTACTTGGATCCACAATCAATGTCATCAATGGAAGCAGCCATAAAGAAATCAAATGATGTATTGCACTGGACAAATCTGCTGCAAAAGACCTCTTTAAAGTGTTAAAGAGCAAAGATTTCACTTTGAAGACTAAGATTCATTTGACCCAATACCCATGTTATTTTCAATCACCTTATGTGCATGTGAAAGCTGAATAGTAAATAAAGAAGATGAGAGAAGAATTGACACATTTGAACTATGGAGTTGGTAAAGACTATTGAATATACCATGGACTACCAGAAGAATAGATAAATCTGTCTTTCTAAGAAGTACAGCCAGGATGCTTCTTAGAAGGGTGGCTGGTGAGACCTTGTCTTACAAACTTCAGTCATGTTATCAGGAAGGACCATACCCTTGAGAGGGATATCATGCTGGTAAAGTAGAGGGTCAGTGAAAAAGAGGAAGACTTTCAAGGGATGGATAGACACAGTGGCTGCAACAATGGGCTCAAGCACAGCAACAATTGTGAGGATGGCACAGGACCACGCAGTGGGTCCCTATGAATCAGAATCAACTTGATAGCACCTAACAATAACAACAGCCTATTTTTACTGAGTGTCTCAGGCAGTTCTCATGGATAAATCACTCTGATAAATTCTAGGGTCAGTTTTCCTGGGATATCAAGGAACTGATCTTCATTTGACCTGTGTTAAAGTTCCCTGAGAGGCTTATTTGTTATTGACAGATGTTTAGCTTCATTCATAGGAGGCTAATTTCCTTTTCCTGTGGGTCATACAAATAATCAAAGGAAAAACCTATTTGTCTTTTCCATTCCTCTGTTCACTCTGCTTCTTCTCTCAGGACACACCTGATTAGAAAAGGAAAGTAATAACCATCTGTCTGGGAATCTTTCTGGAGGTAAAATATAAATGGCTGGCCTATGGTTTTGTTATCCCAAATCAGAAGAAAAAATACATTTCAACATTACTTGTTAATATTTATCTATTAAAATTTTAGAGAAAATTCTGAGCCAATAATTTGTCATTTGAAATTTATTTTTGTAGTAAATATTACTGATAACAACAAATAGGGAGTTTACTCTGTGCTAGGTTTTTTTTTTCCCCACATTAGTTCTTGATGAATTTTATTTATTTATTTATCTGTTTATTTATTTATTTATTGTGATTTAGGTGAAAGTTTACAGAGCAAATTTACTTTCCATATAACAGTTCGTACGTGTTTTGTTTCATGATATCGATTGCAATCCCCATAATGCAACAGCTCTCTTCCCACTTCCTACCTGTGGTTACCTATTCCCTGTGTTCTTCTTTCCTATGCATTTCTCCCTTCTGAACTATCTCCCTGTGCAAATACTGCCCTTCTGATCTCCCATTATTGATTGTTCTAAGAAGTGTATGTACCCAGTGTAAATGTTCACCTAAAAGCCTGTCTATTGCTTGAGTGGAAGCTACAGGAGTGCATTCAATTCCAGGACTGACAGGTGATTGGGGTCATGGTCTGAGGGTTTCACCAGTCTCTATCAGACCAGAAAGCTTGGTCTTTTTAATGATTTTTAGTTTCATTCCACATTTTTCTCCCACTCTATCCAGGATCCCATATTTTTATCCTTTTCCAAGTGGTTAACAGGGGTAGCCAGGCACCATCTAGTTCTTCTGGTCTCAGGGTCATGTAGGCTGAGGTTCACATGGTCTACTAGTCCTTGGACTAATTATATCTCCATGAGTCTTTGTTCATCCTTCTGTGCTCCAGAAAAGGAAACACTAATTGTTACATCTTACACGGCACCTTGCAAACTTTTAAGACACCAGTCTGCTACTTACCAAAGTAGGATGTTGCTGTTGTTGTTATGTACCATCGAGTCAGACCCGACTCATAGCAACCCCTCCTTGGGTTTCTGAGGCAGTATCGCTACGGAAGTAGATTGCCCCATCTTCCTTCTGAGGAGTGACTGGTGAATTTGAACCGCCAGCTTCTGATTAGCAGTCAAGTGCCTTAGGCACTATGCTAACAGAGCTCCCAAGTAGGATGTAGAACAATGTTTTTGTGTAGTTTATTATGCAAATTGATCTTGGTGTCCCTGCAACCATGATCCCTAGTCCATATGCCCAGTGACTCAGGGTGTTTGGCTGTGGCTAAGAATTTATTATCATGTTGCCCCACTAACCCCCTGCTATTGAGTTGATTCAGACTCATAGCAACCTCCTTTGGGTTTCTGAGGCAGAAAATCATTATGGAAGTTGGTTGCCTTGTTTTCCTTCTATG